CCCCCCCCCCCCCCCCCCACACACAACACACACACACACACACACACACACACACACACACACACTCACTACCACTAAGAAAATAAGCAAACTTTTCTTAGTCTTATGTTAATGGTAAGTTTGATGATGTTGTTCTGGTGTTGACATTGATTGAAAATTGTTTTTGTGACTTAGAAAAATGATTTAGTGCTTAGTGTTCGTACTTCCATTATTGTGAAGCCATAGACATGTTTAACGTGACATTACATGTCGTAGTGGTCTGCTGGTTGAGCTAATTTCAGTTTCTGTTCCTATCTCTTTTAGTTTTACCCTAGCGCTTGCATTTCTGAAAATACTTAACAAGTCAAGTAACAAATCAGTACTTTTGACTACATGACTTTTATCAACATCTGTTAACAACTATGGGTTTACAGAAACCTTGAGTGGTCTCCAGTGCAGCTTAGGTTAGCCTGTAATAGACAGAAACATATGCTCTAATACAAGGCATGCTTTTTTCCAATGAAGTGAATTGGCTAGCTAAATACAGCAGAAATCCCACAGGTGTGTGTAGTGAAGAGGTAGTATAATGCACTAAAATATTCTCAATAAAGCAGTTGTCAGATACAAATTGAAATGTGTCATGCTTGCTTATTCATAATACTCTGCTCCAAGTAGTTAAAAATGCTTGGAGTCTCTGTGGTGGGTGTTAGCAAAACAGATTACATGCCAGAAAATGAAAGCCAAAATTGCCTGGTGAAATAATGGTTGAGTCACTGGTGTTCAACAATTCTGTCAAATCTCCACAGAACAACACTGTGTAATATACTGAGCTTTGGGATAAAGGAAATCTTTCTTACTGGTTAATTCATCACATTGTAACCTTTTAATGCTGGCTTCATTTCCCCAGGTTTGTGTTCAACAAAAGGTCAGTGGGCAGCAGTCATTCCTCCCACGGCAACCTGTCGCAGGCATCCATCACCTCCTGTGATGTGCTGAGCGGAGACGAAGGGGACAGTCCCCTACACCGGCCTGCAAAGATCAGCGAGAGGAGGTCCAACAGCAGCACAGACATACAAGGTGTTCATTTAATCATTAATGTAAACTCAGTTACAAAATGAGTGATAATAACATTTAGGCAGCTTGTGACATGTTTTAAAGGTCTGTCAGTCATAGATCGCTTTTACAGACATGGATAATTGTCAATTATGGATATAAAGTATTTTAGAAACTGGGTGATCCCCAAAGCCAAAATAATTGTTTCTGGAGGTTAGATTGCTGATGCTATCTATGTATCTGTACATGAGCCTTTCAGGGACTTGTGCTGTGTTCTGAGTCATGGGAATGGTTTCAGGACTGAAGTCAAAACAGCTTGAGTTGTGTCTTGCTTATTCGTCACAAGTCTGGAATATCTGTGTGATCACTTTGTTGTTATTCTTTGCGTGTGTGTGACTGTTGGTCTGTATGTTTTCTTGAAGGGCTGAAAAGTCAGGGCACGCTGAGACCCTGGGCCTCCAGTAGTCAAGGGAGCCAGGGCGGGATGTGCAGTGACTCAGAGAGTGCGGGAGGCAGCAGCGAGTCGAGGTCTATGGACTCCCCCACCGCCAGTCCAGGTAAAAGGGTTTTATATTAAGCCTTTTTATAAAATTCATAAAAAGGTCTTGAGAGTATTTGCACATGGAAATTATGATAGTATACACTAGTAAACAAGGAGTAAACAAGAAACATTTGTGTAGAAGAGATTGAGAAATCATTGGAAAAAAATCCTAAAAAAAGATAAAAACATACTGTAAGTGAGATGATTAAGATGGAGAGAAGATAAACACACAAACAAGAAAATCGCTTCACAACAAATCACAACAAAGCTAAAAGAGGATTAAAGCACTCATGATGAATTTTTTCTATTATAATCTTTTTAGTTTAACTTCCTCATTGTACAGCAGACCCACACACTACTCATCTCTTAGTGCACTTCCCTCTGCATTTGAAACTACTTGCCACTGTGTGCAAAGCTACTAAATATTCAAGACTAAATGTACACAGTGGAGCGCCATAGCTTATCTGTTCTCAGAATTGCGCTGCGGTATTATCCTAGGGCCAGTCTAGGGTTAAGCTGTATATTTATAATTAGCCACTGAACATTGTTATGTACAAATTCATGACCTTTATATATACGTGCAGGTGACTTCAAACGACGGCTGCCCAGAACTCCCTCAACTGGAACCATGTCTTCTGCTGATGACCTGGATGAGAGAGAGCCACCATCGCCCTCAGACAATGGTAAGGCGTGTGTGTGTGTATGTTTTGTCTTTATGACTGTGTTTTATGTGCCCGCTCTCCGCAGGCAGATGCATGCCAACGTGTGTATACCAATTTTGGGCTTGTGTCTGCAATAACACAGCCAGTGTGTCCATTTATGTGAAGTTAAGGAAGGGAGGGAGGAATAGTGAGAGACTACTGCACAATTCATAAATAGTGCTTTTTTTTTTTTTGTGTGGGCCTGACTCTTTGCTGGATTTTGCTTACATCAAATGTTTTTACACTCGATGGAGCTGAACAGATGGAATTCATGTTAGTTTAGCCGTATGGCCTCAGGTTACACTTCCTGTATCAATGCTGAACTGTCCCGGTCAGTGTACATGTTTATTTTCTCATTGTGAATTGAAGCAGCAGAGCAGCTCTTCTATTTCTGTTCTTTTTTTAAAAAAGATCTTGTGAATTGACAGTAATTGTCTGCTAAACTGCATGATCAGGATCTAAATGTATGCATTGACTATTTGAGTAACAGCTTTCTGTATTTTTTTTTTGTTGCAGAATTTGACCATTTAACTAAATTTATATGCCTTGAGAGATTCTGTTATTTCATCATATGACCATTTTGTTTATTTTATCCCAATTATTATATCTTAATTTAATCTTTCTGTTGAGAGTTTTTTCACACTTTTTCACACATTTTCCCAACAGGGCTCTGAAATGTGTTAACAGCCAGGAAAGGAAAACTACTCCAAGTTACCGTTAATGTAGTGACGTGCCAAAGACTTGTCACTTTTCTAATTGGCCACATAGAGGTTCAGTTTTTGATGTTTACTCGGCATGAAGTCACCTGTGTTAGTAAGCTCCCTCATCGGCTGCTCTGATTTTCAGGTCTGGCAGAGATGGTGACAGAGACAGCCAGTTCTCCAGGTCCCTTCCGAAATGCTCAGATGTCCAAAGCTGCTCAAACCCATAAGCTGAGAAAACTACGAGCTCCGTCTAAGTGCAGAGAGTGTGATAGTCTGGTGGTTTTCCACGGAGCTGAGTGTGAGGAGGTACGGTACATATACTCTTTCATTAGCTTTAGAAATGATAACAGTGCTGTGTGTTTATGTTCAGTTAAGATTAGCAGGGCAAACTTTTTCAGCCACAGTGAGTAGTTGTAAATGTAAAAGACATAGTTTGTACTGTGTACTATGTTTTGCCATTTGGCTGCTGACTCGCCCTAAAACCAGAAGAGACAAAAATTATACTAAATCCGTTGTTTAATTAGCAGTTGTTTAATATTAGTAATAATCTATCAGCTACTTATTTCTTTATTTAACTGTCTCTGTCTTCGTTTCTTTGCCAGTGCTCTCTGGCCTGCCATAAAAAGTGTCTAGAGACGCTTGCTATTCAGTGTGGCCATAAAAAGCTGCAAGGCAGACTACACCTGTTTGGTATCGACTTTGCCCAAGCAGCAAAGAACAGCCCAGATGGTATCCCTTTTATCATCAAGAAGTGCACGTCTGAGATTGAGAGTCGAGCCCTCAACATCAAGGTACATTTGCATACAGTGGATTTGTTTGTCTTTTTATCACTTTACCTCTTTGATTGCTTTTTCGAGCCATACACATTGGACATATTTCATTACCTTACATGAAATACCATAGTTTGGGTTATGTCATGATTATGTGTTACTGTAAAAATGTACCAATCCATGTAACTGTTTGTTCCTCAAAGGGAATTTATCGTGTGAATGGTGCCAAATCACGTGTTGAGAAGCTCTGTCAGGCGTTTGAAAATGGAAAGGACTTGGTCGAGCTGTCTGACCTCTCACCTCACGACATCAGCAATGTCCTCAAACTCTACTTGAGACAGGTGGGTCTTGCATTCTTGCGATAAAGATAAAATAAATCACAATTCAAAATGAGTAGGTAATTTAAGTTAAAGTATACGTTTTTAGACAGTGTTCTATGAAGTATTGCACAGGGTAAAGTAGCACAGGGTAAATTCTTGATTAAAGTCAATTTTAGCAAAGCAGTTGGTCAAAGATTATGCTTAATGCTTACATGTGGGACATATATATATATATTTGTACTCAAATAAACATTTAATTCATTATACATGCACTGGTAGTTTAACACATTTTCCATTTCTTCTGTCTCCAGTTACCAGAGCCATTGATTCTGTATCGATACTACAACGAATTTATCGGCTTGGCCAAAGAGTGCCAGAGAGTGATTGTGGAGGAGGCTGATAAATCTCAGCGCACCCAGACAGAAGAGAGAGGTGGGCCGAGCATCCAGCTCAACAGAGTCATTTACAAGATCAGAGACTTTCTCCACCAGCTTCCTACAGCCAACTACAGGACTCTGCGCTTCCTTCTAGCACACCTTAACAGGTAAGGGCTGTAAACAAACACCCATTGTAAAGACGCCTGTCTGTCGCTCTCTGCACAAATACACTGATACACAGACTTCCTCATAAGATACAAAGGGAAACAGAGACTTCCCTGTTGCACAGAGGAAGTAGCACAAAGTACATAGAACTCATGCTCTATTAATAGTCTGGTTCAGTTTGTTTCAAATCTGACACCAGAACCAATTTTTGTAATGAATATTCTGTGCTCGTGTCCTTTTTATATTTAAATTTCATGATTTTTTTTAGCCTAGCAGTATGTGGCATAATTAATTGAATTCACAGGAATAGACTTTTAGATCATTACATGTGCTTTGGATTGTTAGCAGCTTCTTGAGGCAGGTTTCATTTTTTAGACTTTTGCCACTGAAGTTTCAGTGAAACCTTTCCAGGGGAAACACTGACTGGCCAATATTAAAATGTTTTAAAGGGGTCAGTATTGATTTGCAGAATGTCAGTCTATCTCTAATTCTGTATCAATGTACTGTTCCTTACAATCCAGATCAGAACAATACCTGAAATATGCCTTTTATAAATTAAACTCATGATTAATCTTTAATACCACAGAGTGACTGAGCAGGCAGAGGAGAACAAGATGACTGCGAGTAACCTGGGAATTATCTTTGGACCCACACTGGTCAAGCCACGACAGACGGACGCTGAGGTGTCCCTGTCCTCCCTTGTGGACTACCCCTACCAGGCCCTGATGGTGGAGCTGCTGGTGCGACACTTCCAAACTGTCTTTGATGCATCGCTTATGCCTGGCTCAGACATCACCACAACTGACCAGGCGTCCCCCAGACTCACCCCCCAAGAGAAGGTGCAGCGGCTCAGCAGACACTCCACTTCCCTGATGGACATCAAAGAGGTGAGGAGGGATTGAAGGGTGTGACTGAGCCGTACTGGGCTTGCAGTGAGGGTAACCATCTTGGAAGAGCACTCTTAAGTTGCAACTAAGGGATGTTCTCACTGTTCTCGCCTGCCCCTTTTGTGTTAGTGTGGATGCCATTTTGTGTGATTAGCAATACAATTATAAAAGGATCTGAAGAGGACATAATCAATTCTTGTCTTAATTCACCATTTAATCCTCCGTTCTTAAAGGGGAGCTCCACCAATTTTAGACACAGAAGTCTGTTTTCTTTTTATTACTGGATTACTGCATATGTATAATACATACAAAATCATATTAAATTATGACAAATTATTAAATTATGATTACAAAAGTTATGTTGTTGTTATAATGTACAATTACATTCTTCTTCATTGACTATTTATTCTAATCTAATCTAATTGTTTTCTTTTTCCTCCAGAGTGCCAAAGTGTACAAAAGATACTCATCAATAATCCCGTCCTCACACATCCTGAATGAGGTTCAGGAGGTCCAGCCAGGAACAGACAGAACAGAGGAATCAGCTCTGGACAGACTCAACGGGATCCAGACATCTAGTGGAGGAGAAGTCCAAAGGTCAACACTGGTGTTTGGCCGTCCCAGCACCACCATCCCTTCCACCACCACCACCACCGCCGCTGTGGCACCAAAGGTCCAGCTACGCACCCAGCGCACCAGACATGTGTCTCGGCCTATCAGCATGCCGCTGGAACGCCTGCCCACCCCCGCCCACATCAGCGAGAGGAACAACCGTAACACTGCTGCTAACGTTGAACGGGACCCCGTCTCTGAAACTATACAGGAGATTCCAGAGACAGAAAAGGCTCGACAAAGTGGCTCATCCAGGGTTAGCACCTACTACATCACTCCTTTCATTGACACACAGACGATGCAGAGGAGAACGTGGGACAGGAAGTACAAGCACTATGATGTTACACCCAGGACTGCTATGATTGTGGCCAACCTGCCATCTGCCAGCTCTGGGGTACAACCTGTAAAGGCAACTGTGCCTGCCGCGGTCAGCCCAGCAGTAACCACTGCCTCTGTGGTCCCTACCACAAGTAGTGTGAGCACTGTATTCTCCAACAACCCCTACACAGTGTCAGCCAAGCCTGTCTGGACTTCTAAAAGGGAAAATGACACCAATAATTCAGTCGGTGAGTCTAGCAGCTCACCAAAACTTCCGCTAACGCTCAGGGCACCGAGAACTCTGCAGCCTCCTCCTGGAACTTTCTACAAGCCCCCTGCTTCCATTAACAGCAGAGCCAGAACGCTTCCGAACTGGACTACTACTGTTACAACGGTCACCACCACCACCACCTCATCGCTCGCCCCCACCAACCCTGCCGAGGTAGTCACACCGTCCCCTGCCCTTACAAGCCCCCCACAGACACGGCTCCAGACACAGGACTCCACTGACAGCGCCATTGACCCCGGGGTCTCAACCTCAGCTACCCTTTCTCCCCCACAGTCCCCACCCCCAAGCAGCCCTGAAGACCTCAGCCCCAGTGAGACTAAACCCGTCTACCAAAGACTGCGACCTCGGCGGATGCAGGAGCTTGAGCACAGAGAGGCCCATTTTGTCTGATGCCAAAAAAACCATATTATATCTGTAAATATTAATGTATCTGTGCCATAGTGTATACTTTGGAAACATTTTTTATCATACAAGCTGAGAGTGGGAAAAAATATAGGCCTGTGAAAATAAACCATAAAAGTGTTATAAGTACTAATATATTGTATTTTACATGTTCAAGTCCAAGTGTCAACAGTGGTTGGTCACCCAAGCATTCAAAACAAGCAATTATTACAAGTGTGATGCCATCATTGAATGTTTAGTTTTGTTTTTTAAATAACAAATACATGAATTTTTATGTGAAAGAAAATTTGCCAACCACAGATTGATACCTGTCTGTAAAGAATTGTAAGCCTATCATTTTCCTTGTTTGAAATGAACAGTTGAGTTCATGTTTGATTTGTTACAAAATTCTATTTTATTGTAATCACACTATGCACTTAATGCAGGTTCAAATTCTAATGTTGCTGTTAATGTTAAAATTAGATTAATTTTGTATTTTATTCCACAAGAAACAGATGAAAGTATTTTTAACATGGAGTTCAACATTCTTACCTTTTAAATTTGTCCATTGTAGCCTGTGATTGGTACATCCTTCTCAGTATGTAAACCTTATGTATCTGTTTACGTTTTTTATATCCATTCATACATACTGCATGTTTGTCACAGTAATTTTGTCTCATTGCATTATTGTGACTATACAGAAGAAAAACGACATGCAACAGTACTTGCTGCAAATTAAAAATGTAGTTGAAACTGTTACTCCTGTTCCAATTGAGTTTATTTTCTCAGATCTCTTCAGTGCCTCAGAGAACAAGGGTTGTATTTGAAACTTTTTAAAGGTTTTTATGAAGCCCTGTAGATGTTTATTTACTTTATTTGTGTTATGCTACCCGACATATCCCTATCCCTTTTTTAAATTGCATCCTACTGTGTATTTGTATGCAATCAGGTTTTTGGCTGTATTTTGCTTCATTGGACAAATTGGAGAAAGAGCCAGTGGAATGATATCAGATCTAGGGATGCAACTACAGATTATTCTAAAAATGATTTTCTGTATCTGTAAATATTTTAGTCTATAAAATGGCAGAATCCATCACATTTCCTAGAGCCTAAGGAGACCTTTTCTCTGACCAATCGCTCAAAACCTCAACAAATGTGCAATAATAGAAAGCAGAGAATCGCAGACAATTATCACAATCCAAGAACCTGGAAACAGAGTTTTTGCTCAGTTACGACTCAAACATTGGATCATTAAAATGGTTACCAATAATTTTATTCCCATTGACTAATCAACTAATCATTTCAGCTCTGTTCTAATGTTTGTTCAGTGCCTCAAAGAACCATGATTATTTTTTAAAACGCTTTACATTTGACTTGATGTGTTTTATTTTTACTGCTTATTCTGTTGTGTGTTTCAACCATGAATCCAGTCTGTCCTTGCTATAATTTGTCTTTGACAAAACGGAGACATTGGAGTTGTGTGACTACCTGAGCCAGCAGGATGTCATATGGGGTTAAGCCTTAAATTCACCTCAGTTTTAGGGTAAGCTATTCCTGCTGTACACATGGTTCACAACAGGTAGAAGTGGCTTAAATGGGCTATTGTCTTTGCATTCTCCCAACCTAATTACCCATGTCACCTGCTCCACCTTATACAGCTACTCAGAGGAGTGAGTCATTTCAGATGAGTGCGACACAGAAGCGGCAGCTAACAACAACAAATGTCTTATGTCTGAGTCTGGTAAGCTCCTGTGTAACCGAGTCAAACCTCTGATTTATTTTGTAGGCGTTAAATGGAAAGAGCAGCAGTAACTGTGCAGGTAAATCTTTTTTGTGGACACTTTTTGGCAAACATTTGAGCTCTCCTTTACTACAGGACAGCCTTTCTTAAACCTGTATCCCCCCCCCTGTCCTCTCCAGCACAGATCCCCCTAATTCTGCCTCAAAATGGATGACTGTTGTCTTTTTTTCTGCCTGCCCATGTTGAGCTGGGAGATTAGAGCAGATCAGATTAGGAGTGCTGCTGACCTGCAGGCAGAGGAGAGAGAGTGGACAGCTAGGAGTCGTACCGAGCTCTTCTACCTTGGTTAATATTTTCCATTACATTCTGAAGCTGTTTCTCTAGATGTCGTACGACTTTTATATCATTCCATAAGAGGTAAGGATCAAAATGAACTGTTTTGTCCCATTGTTGACAAAAATAGAAATGCTATAAGAGCTGACAGGTATATGGTTGCTAATTGCTGTTTTAGCTTTTTACATAATGTAATGGTGTAAAAACAGATCCAAGTGAGTGCTTTTAATTTTTTTTATACCTTTATGGCTTTTTGTATCAGTTACTTCAGCATGCAGCACTTCTTCAATGATGAGACATGTTTGCCACAAAATTACTTCTCGTTTATGTCAGTCTTGTGCGAGGAAGTCCTGTCATGTGTAATTACCGTTTTGGTAATAAGGTGATTTCTGAGAAGTCAGACGATAATTGACAGCCTTTACTCTCCTGTTTTAGTCTCACAGTCTTCATTCTCTTGTTTTTCTCGACAAAGTGTTTGTGTCCCTGCATGCTCAGTCTGCCAGTCTGTGGTAATCTACTGGACATCCCCCTCTGAACAAATTACTCTTCATGTTCGACATTCTTTGAGGTTGACTCCAAATAACCTGTAAATGTGATTTGTGTGGATTTGTCTGCATGATAGAGCAGGTACAAATTGCATACATCAATCAGATGCACTGTCTCACGTGCATACACATATGAGCATTTTAATCATTTTTGTAATGTTATCAACTTGTATTTTCCCGTAGAGATTTCCTCTTTTTGCCAACTCAATATAGCTTAAAGCTGGTGGTGTTTTGCTCAGGAGCACTTCAGCAGGGCGTATGCTTTTCAAGAAGTGGTTTGAAGGACGGTCTGTCCACGGTTTTAGTCAAAACCACCTTCTAAGTTAATGCTAAGGCCATTAGTTTGAGTCAGTGTCAGATCAAAGTCAAAGCAAAATCAGTGTGGACCATAAATGTCTGCAGGTCTTCCCTGATGAGGAGTTTTTATAGATCAATGGATTGATTAGTTGTAGTAGATATGCAGAAGTACTATTACATTTCTCATAAAAGCACAAGTCTTTTTGGCGATTGTGAAATTAAACCAAAATTAACAACGATTAACCTTGTGGAGTAAATCAAATTTGATCCGAGACAAGTGGTCTACAGATCAAGGAACTGTAGTCCTGGGTCTTTTTGCCTTTCCTTCTAGGCTCAATAATCCAATGTGTTTGTGAGTATCATCACTGATGGAGTTGTGTATCTGCAGGTTTGTCACAGTCTGATGACCCCTTCCGGGGGTAAAGCTGCGGAGCAATGAAGACAGGCTCCCAAATCCGCCTGTTACTGTGGAAGAATTGGACTCTCCGCAGGCGACAGAAGGTATTGTCATCAATGTGAATGAGGTTGGACAAAACTTTTTTAAAAAGTATTAAACATAACGCAATTCAATACAATAACGCCACAAATTACAGCTTCCAACGCCTCGCTGATAAAGTCCCAACAGAAGCTGAATATGATTTGTTCCAGGGCTGTTGTACTGGATTACAACAAGATTACTTCTGTATACATTTATTTTTTCTGTCCAGGTCCGCTTCCTGGTTGAGATCTGCTGGCCAGTGCTGTTGTTTGTTGGTCTGGTGTGGCTGAGGAAGGCCAATCCACTATACCGACAACATGAATGTAAGAAAAAAACTTATTTATTAATGAGCTGTGAAATAATGTGACAGTGCCTCCTAGAGTTATTTTCATTGAGAGATTAACACGTTAACTCTTTGGCAAATCACTTCAAAAGCCCTTGACATGCCCTGAAATGTGTTGTCTGGTTCTTCAGGTCATTTCCCCAACAAGGCAATGCCTTCAACGGGGATTCTGCCCTGGATCCAGGGCATCTTCTGCAATGCCAACAACCCCTGCTTCAGATATCCAACAAGAGGAGAGTCTCCAGGCGTTGTCTCCAACTATAACAACTCAGTGTAAGCCTAATCAAACCATGTAAACCTCCACTGTGGCAGAAACCTTCTAATTTCTCCAATTGTTCACTGTAATGTACTCATCTACATTTCATTTGATATTATATATAATGTAGTTAAATTGGACTAATGCAGTGTGATTTTTAATTGTTCTAGATTGGCACGGTTCTATGTCGATGCCCAGGAGCTTCTGCTCAATGAGATGGAGGTCCAGCAGCTTGGCCGTCTTTGGCATGATGTGTCGTCCTTCTCAAACTTCATGGACACGTTACGCAACAACCCATCTTTGCTGTCAGGTAAAGGGCAAATGTGAGAAATGGTTCAGACAGTAGCACTTCTCTTGAGAGTAAATCGGTTAGTAAAAGCCTTTTTTCCCCAACTCTGTAATCAGAAGAGAAAAATACTCTTGACACAAGTCAGTTGATTGTAGCTTTCTGGTCAAGATGTAAAAGCAAAAGTGGATGCAATTTTCCTTAAAAGAGTTTATTATAACCTCTTATCTTAACCTGTCAAGAAAGATTAGTTACACAATGCTCTTTCACAACAATAATTCCCCTTTGTCTTGTTGTGTTAGGCACATCCACATTCTGGTAGTGTTTTGTGTTCATCACAGCAGCTCCTCACTCTCTCTTTCATTTTTGATCATCTGTCGTTCAAGGTTTCATTTTTATTTACCATTTTGCTGAATTAGTTTGTTTACATTGGCAATAATGTTTCACAATCATTACAGATAATCGATGTTGTATTTCCAACTGGTGGCTAAAAACTAAATTTTCATTGTTGTTATTACGAAAACATGTGTCAGTTATGGAAAGATTTATCCAGTATAGTGGAGTATATACTCCCTTTTCACTTTACTCCTGGTAATATTCACATTATTGTGGTCATTTACATGCGTAGGATTGTTCACGATCAGGCCTGAAGTCACTCAAAAAAGGTTATTTTTCATATTACTTAAATCAGAATTAACGTATTGGTAGGAATATTCTTAACGCACATCCTCTTGCTCACTGGAGTTTCCCTGAAGCATCAAATCTTTGCCAATCTCTCCTGCTGTGAATCATTTCCTCCGTGTAGTCCAGCACCTTGCAGGTCAATGTGGTCTAACCTTTCACAATCTCTGCTCTTGGTTTTTCTTCTAGGCCGCGGGCTGAAGATAGATGATATTCTGAAGGATGACGAGGTTTTCACGGCCTTCCTCTTGCGAGACGTCAGCCTCTCGGACTCTGTAGTCTACCAGCTTGTCAATGCAAGAATACGACTAGAACAGGTGCAGTTTGGAGAGATGAGTCCTGGCTGATGTTAGGGCATCTTGGCTTATGTCAAAACAGTACTGAAGAACTTGCATATATATATATTTTTTTTTTTTTCCCATCTTGTGTCATTCAGGTCCAGTCGTCCAGCGCCAAAATGGGCCCTCCTCAGAGGAAAGCGAGGCACAGAGGAGGTATGATTTCAACCTCCGTGCACAAGAGCACACCTGTCTTTGCACAGCAAAACAAACATTAATACATATAATATTAAAATTCTGAGCATGTGGAGCGAGACATTTTATTAAGAAATACAAAACAAAGCATCATGCTGCTGCTACTTCTAACTCTGTGGCACTATGATCCTTATAATCCTTTATTTAAGGACAGTGCAGCCATAACAGACATGTTCTGGTCTGTTAATCATAGTGATAGTGTGTTAAACAGAGAGACAGTCAAAGCACAAATTAAAAATGACTTATGGCTGAAAGAGCT